GGATAATTGGGTGGAAAGGATTTTGGGGGGGGGCGAGGGGGTTATGAGTATTGCGGGTTTTGTCATTCTGACGTGTGTGAATTGTGAGGAGTTGCACGTACTCGCACAAACATACAGACTCGCACGATAGCGGTAGTGAGAGAGAGAGAGAGAGAGAGAGAGAGAGAGAGAGAGAGAGAGAGAGAGAGAGAGAGAGAGAGAGAGAGAGAGAGAGAGAGAGAGAGAGAATGATTGAGTGAAAGAGGGAATTAGACATTTTTACTTACAGACACATAAAAAAAAAAAAAAAAAAAACAGACAGATCAATAAACAGACAAATAGAAAAAAAACAAAAAGACAGGCATACATGCAGACAGAGAGACAAACAGATAAATGGACAGACTGATGGACAAATAGAAAGGCGGACACACTGACAGATAAATAGAAAGACGGACACACTGACAGACAAATACACAGATAGACAAATACATACCTATATACAGGAAGAGAAACAAATAAATAGTCAGAGGAGATAAAGACTTCGAAGAAAATAAGATATTTTGAACGTTGTTTACACACTCAAGCGACTGAACAAACACCAAATAAAATTCCTATTTATCTCACAAGCTCTGAGTCAGCGCAGTTCGATCTGTTACTGAAGTCAAGATAGAATATTGAAAATAGAAAAAAAAGAAACACTTAAAAGAAGACGCCCCTATTTGCTTGTCTTTTCTTTGTCTTGCGTTTCTCTGTTCTCTTATTAAGGTATTATGAATTTAATGGTGATTTGATATAGCTATAATGAAAAAAAGCAATATCTATAATTGCTATTAAAGTCATCAGTCATCCACTACAAATAAGAAAAGTAGTACGTAATTTTTGACTGAAACATGTACTTTCAAGCGAATTCTGTAACGATTCTCAGCTGCTGCTTGGGGGAGAGACCCGAGAGGCGGCACTGAGAAGGTGTGGGCGGGGCTGCTTTCCTAGCCCATTCCCGCCCACACCTGTTAGCTCCTTTGTGCTCGCCTTGTCACGTCTTCATAGCACGCCAGGCCCGCTTATGCAACTTTTAAAGTGAATTGATTACGAGTGCTGACGCGTCATGGGTATTGACCATCCACCATGGAGGGTCGCTGGTCACCTTTTTTTTTTTTTTTTTTTTTTACTAGCAAAAAACAATATGCTGCAATGGCAACTAGCTTGGGTGCCGTTTTGTATAATCGTGCAATAACCCGAGGGAGTGCTGGGGTTGATAATCTATTACAGGTTCTCGTATTCAGGATATTCTGAAACGAAATATCATTTTCATTTTAACTCCCACAGTTTTTATTTTGTTATGTATTGTTATAAAGTGCATATATAATATATAACACTTAAGAGTCCTGTTGGCGTCAATACAGTAGCTTTCCACTGCCTAATTACGAAGGAAAAATAAACCCTCAGGACTCTAATGTTGGAACTTTATTGTACGATAATTACATGGCAAATAACGTATATACGATACTGTCCAAACGTGTATATATACACACTCTATTGCATACACAATTACCAGGTATTCCTTTTGTACGGCACTTTCTCTGTTAGTACACATATGTTTGATGAACTGTTTTAAGTGGACATTTTATATACACAATTCCTTGTTCTTAAATCTACGGCATATATTACTGTTGTATTTCAGACTTCAATATCTAAAAATAAATAACAGTCCCTCCCACTCTCTGCCCCTCATTGAATTCAATAACGAAGTGGGAATAATGGGTTAATAAAGGAGTGAATTATGAAAGAAAAAAATATGCCAGATCTCAGACCTGTTGATAAATTCGTCAAGCGCAAGCTGCTGATTGAGAATAATGGCATATTCTAGTAGTTTTATCGCCAGGTTCCTAAAGCCACTTTTTTGCCGCTTTCCGTGAAGAATTTCGCCGCGTGCTAAGTGACGTCACATCCTTCAGTCAAATTGGGGTCGACTTCTAAGACCTTTCTCAATATGTTTTCATTGCTGTTTTCAAAGTCAATGTTGTTGGAGTCTTGTAATTGAGGCATAACGAATGATACACACAGGATCTGAAGTACATCATTTATTCAGTTCAAGGGTACATTTCTACCGAGTACTATAGTTAACAAATCGATTTAACCGCTTGGAGGGAACCTTATCCATTGAATATGAGATACTCCATCAGAACTAGCATTGCCAAATACCACCTCCTTTCACTAGGGTTCAAACAAAATTTGGTATTTGTCTATGTATTAAAAAAAATGAAGTTTTATTTTCTGATGTGAAGTAACCAGAAACAACTTGGCAAAGGTCCGT